GTTGATCTGTAGAGGTTGGCAATTGGAAGTTGAACTTGGGTGTTAGCCCTTTAACCCCTAAGAGTGACCAGCGTCTTATTTCTCCTTACAGCATCATAGCTGAATCACACAATAACTTCACAAGAATAAAGGACATCATTACTAACTAAAGAAAGATTGTTTGACAAATTCTCCTTCTCAGTACCTCAGTAGATGTATAGAGAACAGTATGGAGAATATACATACTGAAAGACCTGACCTACCTCCTGGTGATGTCCTGATAATACGTGGCCCTACGGTGTCACTGTACGCAGAGTTGGCATAGTCATCGTTTAAAAATCTGACTTTCAAGTACACATAGTAATATGTAAATGCTTTCAATCCTATTAGTATAGTGAACTGTTTATTTTTGACAACAGCAGTCTGAAATAAAGAAGACAAAAGGGGAAAATGCTGAAAATAACTTTGAAAAATCAAACTCAAACTTGATTTTATAGTTAAGAAACCTTTCTTCACCAAAGGCCATCACTGAGCATAAAGTTGGATCTGAACAAAGTGAAATCAGCAATGGGAGATGCAGTAAACTCCAAGACCTGGCCCGATCGAATTGTATTGTGTTATTAGGGAAGGCACCTTAGCTTCTAACTCTCACAATGCCCTCTCTACCCAGGAGTGCAAACAAGTACAAGCGAGCTGTCAGGTAGACTGATGAAATGCTGGGGAGTAACCTTGTGAGGGACTAGCATTCCACCCAAGGGAAAGAGGTAACATTACTGGTTGCTTCCTGCTACATGGAATAACCTCTGGCTGGATGGGCCAATAAGCATGCGTGCAGAATGTAACACAGAATAGCTAGATTATGATACCAGGAATTGTGTAAAAATATATATATAATCCCCATGTCCACAAACAAACAACAAATAAGACACAAGTAACCCTAATTCTTTGAATGTTTTACAATCTACATGTGTGTCGAAGAAACAAACCTTATTGTGTTTGTCTCCCCATGTGTGGTAGAGTACCGTATACTCAATAACAATGTACCGCCAATCCCTTTTTTCTGCCCAAGAAACTTTCAATTCCTGATTCCTGTTTGAAAGTTGTTTCACTGTGAGTTCTTCTGGTGGCCGAGGTGTAGCTGAAGAGTAAAAAAAAATATTGCGAAGTCAAATGGTTTTGCAAAACTATCATAACCATGAAAGTTCAATGATAAAAACACAACAACAATTGATTAACATAGGTCATTCATAGACTGTCACATGCTTAATGGCAGACAGTTGCAATGCCTATCACAGTTTCCATAGCATGAAGGGAATAAGCATACTGTTTTCTTCCTTCGGCACAAAAGGATATCAGTCCACACCACAGTATTTTTTCAAAGGATATTCCATTGTGGAGCTGCAGAAGGGGGGGAGGGGGGGGCCCTTATATATAAATATAAATTGACCACTGTAAGGAGTTTCAAAAGCTAACATTTTGATGGCTAGCCCTTGAAGTCAGAGTGAACAAAGAAATCCCAACATTCCTTTATCAGGAGTTTCAAAACCTTTTATCCACGAGCAGCTGCCAATTGTGTCGTGGGCAGCTGTGTCATCCATTATAAGCTAAATGGACTGCATTGAGAGTCAGGTCTTACAGGTGTCAGTAACCAGCTTTTAATGACACTCCTTCTTTATGACCCTGTTGAAGAGCTAAGACAAGAAATGTCAGCTCTAGAAACTCTTTATAGTGGCCAATTTACATCATCAACTTAGAAGATAACACCAAATTATAACCCTAACCCTAACCCAAATCAGCTATAGCTAACCAATGGACATGAATCAAGAATATTAAAAATTACCTTGATATAAGTGGACAATTGGTAGGAAAATCGCACTGGTTGTACTTCCTACAGCATTTGTAGCAACAACATAGATGGAGTAACTACATTCGGTTCCACAACCAGGAATAAAATCATCAGTTCCCTTCAGTATGCATGATAAATGTCTCTCATTTTTGGGAGAATTTAAATAATGACATTTATCAATCCATTTGCAGGTAGGTACTGATGGCAGTGTTGGTTTCATTACTGAGTCATTTAAACAAAGCTTGATAGAATAGTCAATTGGTAAGCCACCAGTATAGCTAGAAGCTTCCCAATACAAATGAACTTCCCTCTCCATAGCACCAATAGCACTCCATTTTAAATTACGTGGTGGACTTGGTGGGTCTGAAGGAAACACAAGATTGCAAAATAAGTCAGAAAATAAGAAGTGAACAAAAGGTTACTTACATTGTTTCACACACTGTAAGTTAAATCCTTTGACTCCCAGAATTGATGAACATGCAACTTCTCCTTATAATATACCAGTATATACATTATCCAGCAAACAGGTAATGAGAATACTCAGACTTGTCATGTCAAAGTTTTCACCTTGATCTAACACTGAATTCTCCTCAATAATTTATTAGAAAAAGTGTAACAGCTAGAGAGGAGAATTAACAATCAGATCTTGGGAGTTAAAGGGTTAATCCTTTATACTCTAACAATAGTATGGAAGATCTTCATACTATTCTCTCTATGTAATAATAATTATACATTTCCAAAGAAACATGCATGTGCGCTTCTTTTAACGTGTTTTTCACAAGGGCATGTACCTCTGAGCTGTAAATTATACAAGGAAAATATTTGTTTAGCCGTAAAGAGCTTCTTGATTTCATGATGACCTTAATGTTGGATTCAGGTGTAACACTGTCAGGAGAAATTAGATGCTTATCACTATTTGGGGTCAAAGGGACTGATGAGTAAGCACCAACTGGAAAAGGAAATTTAAACCCTTTAACTCTTTCATTCCCATGTGTGATCAAGACAGAATTTCTCCTTCCAGTTTCAATATAATATAAGCAGACTTAAGTGACAAGAATAAAGAAAATATCAGTTCAGGGATTATAGGTTGATCTAAGTCTAAATTCCCTTAACTAACATCATAAGAGGGGTATGCCTGACCTGACAGTGAGGAGAATTAATCATGAGATCTTGGGAGTGTAAGGGTTAACTCTCATGAGTGACCAAGACAGAATTTCTCCTTACGATATCAATTTAATATCAACCAGATAAATGATGAGAATAAAGAAAAATATCAATTTGGGAATAATTAGCTAATCTACTGCTTAGTTCTCTGAACTAGCATTATAAGAATTGTATGTTTAACGTACAGTAAGGGGAATGACAAATTTGATCTGGGAGTTAGAGGGTTGATGCAGTGTCGGAAGAGAGGTTTACCCTTAAATAAACCCTAAAAGTGACTACATCTTAGAATTTCTCCTTTACAATATCACCCCTGAATCAAACATTAGCATCATGAGAATAAAGGAAATGATCACCAACTAAAGAAGCTCTTGATTGTTAAACAAATTCTCCTTCTCAGCACCTTAGTAAATGTACAGAGAACAGTATGGAGAATATGAATACTGATGTTAAGGTGTACTGTAAAGGAGGTAATTTAGTGTTAACAACTGGGTTGAAAACGTAAATTAGCCACCGTAAAGGGTAAAAAAGCTGACGTTTGGAGTGTTAGCCCTTCGTTAATCGCTCTGACGAAGGGCTAACACTCAAAATGTCAGCTTTTTTACCCTTTACGGTGGCTAAATTACGTTTTCAACCCAGTTGTTAACACTAAATTACCTGCTATACTCTCCCACCGACACAGCACCACAGTTTTTTTAGAAACTTACCCCTTTATTGTACTGTAAAGGGTTAAGGCTAAATTAAGGGTAAATACTGACTAGTATGGTCATGGACAAGAGGTACAAGAAATGAACCAGGGGGAGGTAGAAGGCAACAAGGGGTGAAAGGTCTTGGGTTACAGGTGAAAAGTGAGGGTTAAGAGGTGAGGTGTGAAATGTATCATTAATGCCATGATCATAGTGGCTGTTGAGATAGAGGATGCCTGAAAAGGTTATCAAGTGAAAGTTAGCTCTCCACCACCCATAGTGTCTCCATAGGAATGTCATGGTCTTAGGCATGTTTTCTGATGAAACTTATTGGGTGTACTGAACACGTTCCCATCAATTAAACATTTAGGTTGGGGACATTCCTTGGAGGTCATGTAATCAGCTTCATCAGATATGAGAAATAGTTTATAGATCTTGAAGACCTATGGGGGAGGAGGAGCATTGTTATGGTATTCAGAGCAATTAACAGCTCTAGGTACTTTTCAAGTTAACAGACCTTGAGAGTGGGCACTGATTCAATCTTCACCATTTTCAGCAAAGAGTAATAATTATTACAAAAAAAAGGTGAAAATGCACAGTACAGAGTACCTTAAGAGATTGTAAGCTAGTAAAGAAGTAATCTTCAAAACTCCTCTAATGTGTGGTGGGGAAGTTGGTTGCTAATGTGGGGCAGGGAGCTTATAAATTTTCCTACATACATGGTGGGCTCGTATTTGGTAGCACTAAATCCTATAAATAAGGTATTACCTGCCACAGAAAGTGAAATATTTATTCCTCCAGATTTCGTGTCAGAAATTTGAGTACACCAGTAAATTCCATTATCAGTAGTTTTTGCATTCAATAACTGCAGCTGCAGTGTGGCATTGTCAATTTGTCTTGTTTTACTTCTGGATAGTTGTTCTCCATTGTGCCACCATGATAAATCAAACACATGTACATTTTCCCTTTTAATGGTACAGTTCAACAAGAAGGTTGATCCCGTCAAGGAAAAGTAGGTATTGTCTGGCTGTGCTGGTTGAATTATTAGATGAGGAGCTAAAATTGAAAATTAAGAAAAACAAATGCAACAATTATGAACCAGAGTAATCTTATAATTTTAAACCTCTTCCTAATCAGTAGTTTTCAAAATGATGCTTCTTGAGCTATCAACAGCTTTTGAATCTGCAAGGATCTCGATGTTGGGAAAAAATAATGAATGTACATTATACGAGTTTGATTAACATTAGTAGTATGTAAAAAGCTGAATTCTGAATTGGTTCTCTGTTCTATTCATTGCAGGTTATAGTTGCATTAACAACATTTTGCTTTTTTACCATATTAAACAAAAAGATTCTATGTTGTCCTGAGTATGTACAGTAATAGATTACAGGAGACATGAAAATGTGGTAAAAACATCAGTGACACCAGACCACACCAGACCGCACCAGACTGTTTGAAACATAACATCTACGCACAGCGGTAGCCATCTTTGAAAAAGCATTTAGGAATAAAAATTTAAATTGAAGTAAAGATTGCTTCAATGGCCCCCTTCCCATATCCAGTGTTGTAAAATTGCAGAAAACAGAGTGCGAAATTTAACAGGGGAAGGAGGGTTGAAATCAACGGTATCAGGGAAAAATTAGTATGCTCTTACACAATATATTGCAACCTCGTTGGTTGTATTCGCCGTAAACAGCTTCGCGTCTTTTGTGTTGGAGCTACACTGTAATTCCTTTCAACTTTCCATATACTTCAGACTGGAAAACAAACGAATTGTGTGACCATCTGATCTGGGTATCTACACATAATCCCTTTCAGGAAATAATCAGATTGGTCGCAAGACATTGGATTATGAATTTTCTCGTCCTTTTCATTGTTCTATGATGATTTTGTGTAATCACGCCACTTGAATGCAATGCCGTCAAATATTTATTTTCTTGACGTTGCAAATCTCAAAAAAACAAACAAAATACTTGACAAGTCGATGTTGACTATGGCATTTTTAAGCCATCCAAAACGCAAGGAATGTACACTGAACGTGACAACAGATATCTTTCGCGTGTGTGTAACAAATTAGTATTCGAGAGAGCGCGAGAAGAATTTAAGTAGACGCAGTCACGTACCTCTAGTATGGTTTAGTGTCACTTTACAAAGAATATAAACTGGGCCTGTATCTGTAAGTTTTCCCTTACAAATATATGCGCTATCTTGCACACTGCGTTATGGATTACAGGTGTGATCACGAGTTGAAAACAACTTATGAGAAATATGATCAAAAATTAATCCAAGCAAAGGAGGTACCGCATCAAATTCAATAACAACGTATCTATGTCGCATGCAGAAAGAGAGCTTGACAGTATTTACTCTCTTTAATTGATTTTTTTTTAAGCGGTTGTGCTACATTTTCGGAGCGGCGGAGAGGTATAACGGAAGAACGTATTTGGACAGCCTTTGATCTATTCACCTGCAAAAGAATTTACGCCTTTGGCACTCCCTCACGATTCACCCTACCTTGTGTAGCATTGCTAGACGATGAAACTTCGATCAAAGACCACAGCAATAGAGATACAAAGTTGACTGGGTCAAATCTTCCGAATGTCGATGTCTTCATCGCGACGAACTGCTCCAACAACACCAAATATTGTTTAGATCCATGTTAATACAATAACATTGATCAATCGTTGTTCACGTCGATTTGCAGCTGTTGTCGACATTGAGCACAATGATGCGTCTTTCTATTGAACCTCAATCTTCGTCAGTCTCATATGATCGTAAAGTATGATAAAATCGCTCTTCATCTTGCTCCATTAACCTTCACATTAGCCTCCGTCATGTCACTTCCTCCCTTACCACGAACTGTCGTACGAAATCACTTGCCAATCCCGTGGTTTTGTGGCTTGGTTGTTTACGCTTCAAGTACGATGGTGTGTGCTATCCATAGGTATCTATGGAAACTTCCGCCCTTGCCTCTAAGAGCGTTGAAATAATTAAAAGAGTCGATTAACTTGACATGTACATTGATAAAGATCGTTCGTTTCATTGTTTGATACATTGTTTTATGGTATATTTTCTCGTAAAAACTAAATCGACAGCGCCTAAACACCGACCGCTAACATGTCCATCCTTTCTCCGAAATTGCAGCTCATCGGCCTTCGACCCTGTAACAGTTTCACATGAACATCACACAGTCAACTATAAAAAAAAATAGCAACACGTGCTTGTCAGACAAGGCCCACCAGCACTATGGTTTAGATCTTCAGTTTAGCTCATGATCTGCAGGTGCACCGTATGGAGCCTAATCTTATCTAGAGACAACACGCCCTCATGATTTTCACGAGACCTCTATCTCGCCCGCTGCAATCAAAGACGGGAACTGGGCAAAACATTTGATAAGACGCCTGAAATACAGAATGAAATGGGTGAATTCTCAATTCCTGTCAGGGATGACACCACCAAAAGACAAAAAAATTTCAAAATGTACTTTTTTGGGAGATATGTCTAGAATATGGCGAAGATTCGTCAAAATAGTCAATTCCGCCAAGCTGGTTTCGCTTTGACGAATTTGACTAAAATTCGCCAAAATCGTGAAATCCATAAACATTCACTCGGTTTGACGAGATTTCGACAGAAGAAATACAGTTGGTATTTTAGCTCAGAATAAGACCTTTTGCGATCAAAACTGTTTAAGGACTCAGCCAATTTTAGACCGAGATTCTCGATATGGTAATTAACACCAGTTAAGCTTTGTTTCTGGTTCTTTTGATTGCCACAATATTTTTGCGTTCCAAAATTAAGATTATTACTGGGCAATTGTTTCTTCCATTACTGTTTATCAGAATCTACAGTCAGACTGACTGCGTAGCAGTTCGTGTTGAAAATTCTGTAACTTGTACGATTTCAAAACAAAATCTACGATTTTGGGACATATCAACGCTTCAACTTGAAATTTACCTTTCTAATGAAGAGTCCCCAACGTCGCAAAGCCTCAGTTGAAGTCAGAAAACTCCGTTTTGTTTTCAGCCATAATTCGCGTTTGGGAATGAAGTATCGTAAACTCCAAAACTAATTTCTTCGCTTAAAGGGCTACATGCTCGTTGTTTTTTTAAAATAGTATTATTTAGCATAATTTCTATATTTTTTAGCAGATATATCTTCGAATTGGGAGAGAACGGAAAACAATCTTGAAAGTTTCGAAACCTTTGCCAACAAGAAATTTTCCCGACGATGACGTCATCTCTATGAACATCCATTTTTTTTTTCATCAAATATTGGCCAATCAGAGCGCGCGTTAGGGTGTAACTATGTTATATATGACTTTTTACAGAGGCATACAAATTTTTCGCGAGCGATTTTGCGTGCGGCAGTTTTCTGTTTGTAGAATCATCAACCGCACCTGTAAACTTTAGGCTATTTGTAATTTTTCAAAGTTAGCGATCCACACCGCGCGACATGCATACGACCCAGCTGACTGGGCAAGCGAAACAAAACATTTTACTGAGCAGATTTGTCGAGAGGAAATATTTGCTAATATAAATCGATAACTAACCAGTTCGTAACAAAACAAATTAGTTATCGGTCAGAAACAATGATGTGAGCATTGTGATTTTTCGTCGCTGTCAGGTTTGAGAAGATTAAATTGAAGCTTTCAAAGTCATTAGCTGGACGCAACGGCCGCCAAAAAATGATTTGCTTGTTGCAGAGTCACTTGACAGTAAAGCTCTAAATCTGGAATGGGAATTATAAAAATTTTACTGAAAAAAAAAAAGACAAAAATGAATTGGCAACGTGTACCGTTGCTTGTACAATGCTATCCTATGCATTACGTCAACGGCGCGCATTTGAATCTCGCGGCTGAATGTGTTCGAAAGTTACATAACTGTAACTGGGAAAACGATAACTGAAGGAGTCAAGTTCCCAGAATTACACAACTATTCAGAACCTTTTTGGATTTATTTACTGCCTGCCTTTGGACAATTTTTCCTCAGCAACCCGGGAGGAGAGTGAAGATGTAAGAAATAGGACACTTCGTCTGCTAATTGTAACTAAAAACATTAGTAATCATAATAACCATCAAATTTTGTTATAAATTTCCTCTCATTTCTTTTCCCACACTAACAGTTCTGAACAGAAATACGATTCGCTCATTGCTTGCACTGATGGAATGCTGCCTTCTCTTTCCTTCAGAAACATTTGTTTAACATATCAGTCTTTCAGCTCCTTCTCTCGGAGTCGTTTCAGGACAGCCCTTCGCCTCGCTGTGTTGACATTCCACATCAGCTTTTGTCTCAGCCAGTCTGGAACCCGTGATATAAACCAGTTCTACGAGAAGAAACGTAAATTCACTTTAGGAACACCACTGTTACATTGGCGAAATATTAACACACACTCCTCCTTTTACATTTCGTTTGTGATCCGACAAAAATTTTCGCGTAGTTTAAAAGTGTCACGTGAACGATTACGCCCCATCTACAGCTAAGGAAAATATCTGGTGATACCAAAGATGTCGAAGATACTTTCTTATTTTCGTATCTTACGACTGATGGAAAGAAAGGCTTTCTTTTACAGCTGATTGAGGTTAAAATAGCGTTTTTTCTGTTCTCCCAGAGGAAGAAGAAATTTATTTCTTCATAAAGTCGCCCCGATGACCTGTCGACTCAAATACACTTTTGATCTACTGTTGTTATAAGGATTGTGCTAAACGATAGAAGGAACTTGATTAAAATTAATACACTCTTATGGTCAAGCATCTTTGCTGACAAAAAACTAGTTCATTTTGAAAACAAGTTTTCCATTGCAAGACAACGGCTAAAATCAATTTTTTCAAATAGTTCTGCATAATTCACATTGATGAGGAAAGCACTGTACCATCACAATAAAACCAGCTCTCAAAAAATGAGTAAAATATTTGGGTTGAGTAACACACAGCAGACAACTAACTTCTTTGCTCTCATTCATTCTGTCTTTTTAGTGCACCATCTGGTTTAAATTGATATATCACAAGTGAAAAGTCAGCGGAAAACATGGATGAAAAGAAATGAAAAAAAATATTTTAACACATTTTTTAAGGCTTGATTTTGGAAAAATTGTGCAAAATAGTTTCTATAAAGACTTTAATTAGAAATGTGTTGGCCCTTAGATTGTGTTTAGTGTTTCTTCCAAAGTGCAGTTACCTGCAGAGCATGGCTCCAACATCCTACAGTCCTAGACTCCACTCCGAGTGTTCCCAGGGCCTGACGAACATAAGTAGTTGGGCCTGGAGCAAAGATGTTTGGATTCCTGATTCTGCTCATCTTAGTAGCAACATAGTAGGGTAATACACACTGAAAATGAAAAAAAAACCAAGATGAAATAAAACATACAATGTAAAACCAGTGCTTATCCT